AACCGCCGCCGACAGTTCAAGTGTTTGTTACGAAAATGTTTCACCCTCAAATTACCTCATCCTCCACCTCCCCCCCCCCCTTCTTCACATACCACACACTATTCAAAACTGACCAACCCGCCAATTCTCGGCTCATTAACCTATGCCGGTAATTAAGGCCGGTAATTAGCGACCAAACCGAGGGTTTTATCGCTATCTTAAAGGGCCACTGATGTGATCACCCAATTCACATCTTAATTGGTCATCACGTGACCAATATCAACCCTCACCCCCCCTTCCCCAGATGACCTTCAAAGATGAGCATCAGTGCTGCTTGTCAGAAGCCGAGGGGAGGGGCGGGGTGGTTGGTCCTTTTTGTAGTTATGTTCGTATGTGGGGGGGGGGGGGAGTGTGTGTAGGGATGGAGATGGAGTTTTAAAAAAAAGTCTTTAATGTTAAAAAAAACAAAACAAGCACACATACAGAGTTCCACGTTAGTTACTACAGCTCAATACAAAATATTCGCTTGTCATTGCCGAGGTTTCAGATAGGAGGGAGCATAGTCACATGATTTCTAAAATTAGAATAGGTCTACAATTATTATTTAACACTCAGTTTAACGAAAAGTATTTTTACCTTAATTTACAAGCCACTTACAATCGCCATACTGTTTATTGTGCCCCCGCCCCCCCCCCCCTTCCCCACCCCACCCAAAGGACCACTGGAGGCATACATGACAAGGTCACGTGTTCCTGGCTAACCCCGGCCCCAGCGGCGCGTGATGGCCACTTGAAAGGCCACTCGTCCCCCGGCCCACGGACCTCCGCTGACCACTGGTCATCCTCCACGCGCTCATTGCTCAATTAGCGGCCATGCGAGATGGGCCACTCAGCGGGCCATCAAGTGGCCAGCGATTAGCCCACAAGGGGAGTTAAGCGCTGTAAGATAAGACAAGCAGACGACATCCACAGATGGATGCGGGCAGGGGAGGGGGGGTGGAGGGGAGCTGCTATTATAAAGAGATATTTATGATTGTTTTATATCCGAATCATCAGGGGCGCAGTAAAGGAAGTTTGGAGGTCGTGGGGTGGGTGGGAGGTGGTAGAGAGAGGGTGGGAGTGTAGGGATAAAGGCAGTGGTGGATTAAGGGGGGGGGGGGGGGGGAGCTGAGAAGGCTGCAGCCAGGGCCCCCGATTTTTAGGGGCCCCCAATATTCCTTTTCCAACCATAGTAAATTTTCTTTTAAAGCGAAATTGTTGGGGTCTTTTTTTTTTTACTATAAAAACCAATGTTTTACTACTTGAATCACAAGCTTATTTCAACTTGTGTTCAAAATATCCAACGCGAGCACACACTTTAGCATAACTACCAGTTGTCATCGCCATACATTGTTTACATAAAGCCGACCTCGCTAAAATAAATAGCACGTACAGCGTTCGCTTATGACGATAAAATGGGTTGATTGATAGTCTTAAAAACACAAATAGCGGTCTATGATTGACGCCTTTTGAAAAATACTCAGCAGTTGAAAGTTATTTAGTCAGACAGCGTCAGACAAATCGTGTAGCGAGGTGGTAACCAAAATAAAAATAATACAAGTATTAGGCCGAGGGTCTACATTCTGCATTAGTTCTCACTCGCAAGCATCCAGACAAGCAACATTATTGACCAGCCTTAGCATTAAAACTGCCTGACTGTCTTTGCTTACCCGCTGCACCACTAAGAAAGTTATGAAAATGTTTCACATTTTTGTTATTAGAAGTGAGGCTTCGAATATTCATTTAGATATAGATCTAGTTACTTTTTATTTTAGGCATATGATTTCTAGATCTATTTATTTGGATTAAATTTCCCTAGATTAATTTCTTAGTTGCTCATTTGGTCATTAATTGAGCATAAAGAATATTAGATATAGTTCACATATTTAGTTGTTATTTTGAGCCTGTGATCAGAGCTCAGGACTTTTGGGTCAGCAGTCGTGCGTTCTACCATCTATTGTAAAGTCGAATTAATTAGCTTGTAATTTCTTTGGCGACTAAGTTATATTCATCTTAAGAATATAAGAAATCATCAACTTATGGAACTAAAAATTTAGACAATTGTGGATACGTGCGGACGGTGTATGGGTGGAGGCGGGGAGGTGGGGAGGTGGGGAGGGTCTCTGTAGACATCACAATCAAAGAATAATAGGCTGCTCTATATTGTTTATAAGAAAAACAAAGCTGCATAAACAATGTAGGCCTAAAAGCAAATACGGCAGTGTCCATGTTATTTTAACCCAAATCAATGGGCAATTATGTCGCGGCAGAACTATTTAGGCCCTGTAAAATAAACCGAAATTTAGGCCTAAATTAGGCCTAGAGAGAAATATATGAAATGAATCTGGTGTGGACACTCTATGATTTGAAACTAAACACTAAGAGCAGGGAGGTGTGTTTACTGTTTTTAGTTAGGCCTAATTTAACCTCTGTATGTTATTAATAATTTCCTACATAGAGTGGTTTGATATTCTATTTTTTTTTCTATTTGCGTCTGGAATCAAACAAGTGCCAACTGTCTTTATCGTCTGCTTTATAACGACATTATAACATTCTCATGGATATTTATGTCTGTTAATTGTTAGTCTGCATTTCCTGCTTTCACACGCCCAATATAAATACTTGAATGACCGTCGAATAACTAGCCTATATGTTATGATTTAGATGTCGGAAACTGCTACAGACCTAAAAGTTTCAGCCCGGGGCCCCGCCCAAGCTTAATCCGCCCCTGGATGAGGATAGCTGAGTGTAGGGACGAGGTGTATGGGGAGAAAGGTGAACCTACCGATGGGGACTATGTGAACTTCGGATAATTGATATGTGTATGTTGATCTCGTAGACAGAGCCCATTAGATCACATACTGGTACCAGAATAATATTTCGTTTGTCTACTCTAATGTATGTTAGCAATGTCCTTGTGGTTGCGTGGATGTGTGGTACCGCCAACCCCTGATGCCAACCCCAGACGACCTTGACCTGACGTCTGCTGGTACTTGACCTTCACGATTTTATTCTGGTCACGTGGCCATACGTGAGTGACGTCACACGAATCTGTCTTAATTAAGACAGCCAATCAACGCAAGCGGCTTCTAAAAGTTGAAGAGGGGGGGGGGTAAGGGTTGTCTGATCAGTGCCAGGATAGGGGCTGGCATCAAGTGGACGCCGTGACGTCACACATGCTGATGCGTCTGATGGCACTCTTTAAATTGACATTCTAAATTTAGAGGTCATGATGACGCTCTTTGAATGACCTTGACTAGCTGTTGCTCACTCACACATCACGTGTTAGCTGCACGTGTAAAAAGACGCGCGTGCTGGCATCTAAAGGTGACCTGTCTAAAGGTGACCTGTCTAAAGGTGACCTGTCTAAAGGTGACCTGTCTAAAGGTGACCTGTCTAAAGGTGACCTGTCTAAAGGTGACCTGTCTAAAGGTGACCTGTCTAAAGGTGACCTGTCTAAAGGTGACCTGTCTAAAGGTGACCTGTCTAAAGGTGACCTGTCATTCATTACAATATCGCGTGCCGAATTTTTAAATCAGATGGGATTTAAAATGTGTGGCTTTTGTTGGACTTGTCTGCTTCATGTTTTTTTTTATTTCCTCGTTGAAAATGTAAACAAACACGGCAGACTAGGTCATGTGCTGTTCAAAAAGTTTATTTAAAATATTTAACCGGAAAGGTTTTTAGGACAAAGTGGGATTTACAGAAATATGATCGGGATGTTTTTATACAACTAATCACAAGTTTGTTTGTAGGTTAAAATGTCGGGTATTTGTTACAAAAAAAGAGATCTAAACGTAGTCTTAAACGCAAAACAAATTTTTCAAATTATTTACATTTGTAGCTACTATAAGATTAATTCTTAAAATATTATATTTCGATTTTTTTCAGCTTTAAGTTTTTTTTTCATGTTACGGCCAGTACAAAGACGAAAATTGACAGACCTTTTTTTAAAAAAAAATGTAGGTCAACAATAATGTTAGGGGCCTTTCATTAGACTCAGCGGTGCCAATCAATTTATGACAGAAAAAAAAATAAAAAAAATCTAGGAATTTACCCCCCCCCCCTTCCCCCTCCGCTGTTTGACACACCGCTTGTCTTGTCAAACTAAAAGACAGCAGCCATTTCTTCATCTTGCAAGGCGAAAATTATGCATTTAAAAATCGTGTATTTTAAAGTATAAAACAGCAATTAGACGCGTTAATTAATGCTGTTAAAATTTGTCTTTCTTTGGTGTAAATTGTTGAACTTCTTTATTGAATTTTGGAAATACTTTAATTTTTAAAAATTTAAATTGTTACTTCTTTAGTGTAATTGGAAACACGACAATTTTACGCCATGGGCTCGTATAAATTTTCCGTTTTTAATACTGTTTTTTTGATAATCAAAGAAAAGAACAGGGGAAGTGACAATGGAATTACTATAGCAATTGAACATTGTTCATTGTGTTGTGTTGGTTACCGAAGAGAAACGGCCTTAAAATTTTTTTATTTAATTCACCGTCACATGATATCTAATTGTCAGTAGAAGGAAAACAGCCATTTTATTTATTCCATAGGTAATTTATTCTATTGTTTGTCCTCTTCTGTACCTTATTTGGTCAAAATTTAAAATATATTTATTACTTTTAGTTTTTTTCATTGTTACGTTTGTTTAAATTGATAGTTAAAGGGAAACAACCGTTAAATTCATTTATTAAATTCGTTATTTAATGTCACCTCCCTTGGTTCTGGGGGCTTCAATTTACGGTCAAAGGGAAACAACAACTAAATTAAATTATCACTATAGTTTAGTTTTTGTAACCTCCCCTTTTATCGGCTTGCAATTGACGGTCAAAGGGAAACAACCGTTAAAAATACATATTGCTTCAGTATTTCCATTGTCACCTCCCCTGTTCTTTACTTTAAACCGTTGATCAAAGGGAAATAACCGTAAAAAATACATTTTAAAAATAAGTATATCATTGTTATATCCCTTTCACAGATTCATTACTAGACGACAGTCAAGTTAGGCGGTACAGGACAGCTTTCACGCGAGAGCAGATAGGTCGTCTGGAGAAAGAATTCTTAAAAGAGAATTACGTGTCCAGGCCTAAACGGTGCGAACTGGCAGCCTCCTTAAATTTACCTGAAGCAACTATAAAGGTAAATAATTTGATAAAACAACATTGATTCAATACATTGTCTACTTCTAACAATTTTATTTTATGATCAAAATTTTCGTTTTTTTTACGCCAAGGTGGTTATAGATGAAAGCAGACAAACCCGGCTCTTGTATCAGTTGTTATCTGCTATTATCTGCTATTATTATCTGACCAAATTATCTGTCATTAAAATATATTGAATATACTGATATTGATATGAACAATAGACTTACATTGATATGAACTAATGACTGACGTTGATGTGAACAATAGACTGACGTTGATATGAACAATATATTGACACATATTTCTCTCGGCAGGTCTGGTTCCAGAACAGACGCATGAAAGACAAACGTCAGCGGATGGCGTTGGCCTGGCCCTATGGGATAGCCGACCCCCACCTCTACGCCTACCTCGCTGCCGCCGCCGCCTCCTACCCCTACGGGATGCCTCCTGCTCACCCGGCTCTCGGCTGCTACTCTCCGGCTGCCGTGCCTCTCGCCAGATCGCCCTCCGGCTTCCAGTCACCGCCCCACCTCCAGATGTCCCCGGGGGTCAGGCCGGCATCCATGACGTCATCAGACTTCCTGGGAAACTTCACGAGCAGCTATCTCAGACAGACCGGCGGGCACCCCGGGGGTCAGCCCGTGCCCGGGACACACCCATCGTTCCCTTCCGGTCCGCTCCTTGACCCCACGGCCATGTCACTTCTGACGTCATCGCCTCACCATCTGACGTCATCGCATTTCATGACGTCACTGGACTCTGCCCGACTAGCGGCGGCCGTGTCTGCAGCATCGAACCCAACCCTCGCATTCTCCCACACTAGTACAGTGGCGCCCTCACACCAGCCCCTCACGCCCCCACACCAGCCCCCACACCAGACGCCCCACACCACTCACCCAGTGCTGGCACCAATAGCCAAAAAGGCGGGAACATCGTCATCGTCTGCCATAACAAAAGGACTGTTCCGGCCCTTCCAGACAGACGACAGAAGTTGATGATAGGTCATCACATACGCCTACTCATACGTCACCAACTTACGTCATTAACATAGGTCACCAACATACGTCATCGATATAAGTCACCAACATACGTCATCGACATAGGTCACCAACATAGGTCACCGACATAGTTCATCGACCTTCATCGATATAGGTCGCCAACATACGTCATCGATAAATGTAAACAACATACGTCTCTAACATACGTCATAAACAAAACCTACGTGATCATATGTCACGCCTTCCGGGTCATAAACATATTATTGATCAAAATATGATTTTTTAAAATCCACCTTAAAAACATCAAATTCTTCTCTCACAAAAAATTATCCAGAATTGTTCTATTGTTGCAGGGAGGTAACTCCGAATGACTATAAGATTTGTTAGAATTTTTTTTTTTCACGTGAAAACTTGGGTTGTAAGATTTGACTTGAATATATCATGCTGGGTGCTCTCCCTGTGACGGTAAGAAGGGTTGTGGGGGGGGGGGGGGGAATAATTGGTCGATGTGTTAATGGGAAGTGGGGGTAATAGTGTGGATGTGGGTGTGGTGGGAAGATGAGTGGGTATGGTGAGAGGTTGTGTGAGGGTGGGTGGTTGATGGTGGAAGATATAATTATAGCACGTATGTCTTACCTCCCCGGAAATTCTGCTGTACCGTTGGCCGTCTATTTGAATGGACGGTTGGATCTTGTGCTGGTTGTTCCAGTGTTTCAATGAAGGGGTTCACATTGTCACTCTGGCCGTCCAGACGGTATACATCCTAGCCGTCTATACGGTCCGCAATCCTGGCCGTCTAGTTGGTACCATAATAATACAGTGCTGGCCGTCTAGACGGTTTAACAATCATTACAACAGAACACAATCCTCACATTTTCCGGTTCAAGTGGACTCAGGTCAAGGTAGCGAACACAGCCTAGGATTGACCTTGAACTTGGCGTCAATTATAATGTGGACTTGTAACATTTGTAATCACGTGACCATTTGAGAACAGTTCACTGTGTGCTTCTTTTGATTGGTCAGATTTTTAAAAGTTTGTCTGACTTTAAATGTGTGACTTGAGATGTGTGACTTGCAATGTATGACTTGAAATGTATGACATCAAATGTGTGACTTGAAATGGTATGACTTGAAATGGTATGACTTGCAATGTATGACTTGCAATGTATGACTTGAAATGTATGACTTGAAATGGTATGACTTGCAATGTATGACTTGCAATGTATGACTTGCAATGTATGACTTGCAATGTATGACTTGCAATGTATGACTTGCAATGTATGACTTGAAATGTATGACTTGAAATGTATGACTTCAAATGTATGACTTCAAATGTGTGACTTCAAACGTGTGACTTCAAACGTGTAACTTTTAATGTATGACTTAAATTTAAAACTTTGAATAATTCCACCACTGTAAGCACAGTTTTGGCACTGACCTACTTAAATTATTTGAAAGTTAAAATGGATCTTGAAATAAATTGTTTTCAAATAACAAGGTGTCGTTTTGAATGTATTTACCTCCAGTGGCGTAGCGAGGTCGGGTGTCACCCGGTGCGGCACTTAATGGTGTCGCCCCCAGAGGCGTAGCGACCCTTCCCGGGGACAAACTTTCAATTTTCGATTTGCACCCCTCCCCTTCAAACTTTCGATTTGCACCCCCCCCTCAAACTTTCGATTTGCACCCCCCCCCCCCTCAAACTTTCAATTTGCACCACCCCCCTTAAATTTTTCTCTATATATTTTGTTATTTTTTGCCTTGGTGTCACCCTCCTAAATGGTGTCACCCGGTGCGGTCCGCACCCGCCGCCCCCCCCCCCCTCGCTACGCCTCTGTTTACCTCAACACAGAAACACACGCACACACGCACTTACACACACACACTGCCTGGCTGCTTACCTGTCAAAAAACACCCCCCCCCCCCCTTTTTTTGCGGTTTAAATTAATAATTTAATTGGTAAATAGTTTTTGAAGGGCCACGTGCTCTGTTGTCAAATCTAGATGTCACATCATGATGTCAATCTTGATGTGACATTGTCGCTTTATCAGTTGTTGACCTCAAACAAAATCACACACACACACGCAATATCATACACTAAAAATTATTTGAATAACATAAAAAATCAATAATTTTTTTTACAAGTTTTATTTTGTTATTGGTAAGTTTAATTTATAACTGGCAAGTTTTATTTGTTTATATATATTCAGCCGTTAATCGTTCGTTACTTTGTGAACGTAAAGGTGTATTTATCACATAGATTTGATATACTGATGTACATAACATATTGAAAGCAATATATGGACAAAATATCAGCAAGATTTACATAGGACATTGTGATCAGAAGGAAACGGAATGGGTTCAATGAGTACATGTATGTTGACAGTACAATGAGTACATGTATGATGACAGTACAATGAGTACATGTATAATGACAGTTCAATGAGTCCATGTATAATGACAGTTCAATGAGTACATGTATAATGACAGTTCAATGAGTCCATGTATAATGACAGTTCAATGAGTACATGACAGTTCAATGAGTACATGTATAATGACAGTTCAATGAGTACATGTATAATGACAGTTCAATGAGTACATGTATGATGACAGTTCAATGAGTGCATGTATGATGTAATGACAGTTCAATGAGAGGAAATATTGCACGATAAATTTGTTTTACGAAGTAACCCAAAGGGCGACAACTGTAAAAAACCTAGCCGGCCTTTAGGACGTTAGCATTTAGTGCCCTTGTTCTGGAACATTGGGTCGATCTTTGTGGGCCCGGGTATCGGCCTTTAAGGGAATTGATTTGTGGGTCGGGGTCATCGACCTTAACGGTAGTGATTCCCCCTGCTACATGTAGTATGTCAGCTTTGAGAAATGTCAGGTTGTAAAGTTAGAAATGTCAGGTTGTAAAGTTAGAAATGTCAGGTTGTAAAGTTAGAGATGGGAGGTAAGGAAGGCAAGAGAAGGGGAGAGGGAAAAAGAGTGTAACAAATCTCTCAAATGACAATTTCTAATGTTACATAAATAACGTCAGTCACGTGCAATCATATCAGTCACGTGATAGTACATCAGTCACGTGATATCACATCAGTCAGGTGAAATAACACCTGACCTTTTATGGAAAAGACATTGAGATTGTTTACACCAATCAAACGACTTCCGGTACGTATGTTTGTAAAACCTTGGCTTCATACACCGCCACTCGTTCAAATACACACACACACACAAACACATACATACACACACACACACTCATATATATATATATATATATATATATATATATATATATATATATATATATATATATATATATATATATATATATATATAAATTTCTATGCTTTGAAAAAATATTTTGAGTTGACCCACAGGCAAAGTAGCAGAAAAATAAATTTTGTAAAGGAAACCTTGTAACACAACATGGGGCTAATGATTTGAGGCTAATCAGTGAAGGAAATATAAAATCACTAATTAGCCACATGACATTAACTCACGTCAACAACAACAAAAAAACCAATCACTGCTACATACTAAAACACATGATATGACGTCATGACTTGAAGGACGTTAATAACTAGGGGACATCAGCCAGGACTTCTGGGACTTGTAGGACATGTAGGACTTGTAGGACTTCCGGTAAAAAAAATTCATAAACCTCAATCCTCAGTATCAGAACACACGCGTAAAATGACCTCAGTGAACTCTTCACGTTTAAAGTTAGATTAAATTCATGTTTTATGCTTGAAATGTATGGCTGCGTGAGGCCTTTCGTTCAATGCTGCCCAAATGTTGGTCACGTGATTGCTTTGATCTGGCCTGGCGTCGATCCCCCCCTCAGGCGTTGGCCTGGATGGCCGCCTGTACCGCGGCCTCCGTCTCCCTGTGCCGCTTGACGTGCTCGTCCAACTTCCGGCCGCGGGTGGCCAGGAGAAAGATGAGCTCCAACATCTCGGCCACCGTCACTAGACTGAAACCCATGAACAGGCCAATCTGGCCACCGATGCTCCCTGGCACGAGAGAAAAAAAATCTGGTTACATTTGATAAAAAAAAATTGGCTACACTTGATGAAAAAATCTGGCTACATTTGATGAAAAAAATCTGGCTACATTTGATGAAAAAAAATCTGGCTACATTTGATGAAACAAATTTGCTACATTTGATGAAAAAATCTGGCTACATTTGATGAATAAAACAACTTTACTTTAAATAAAAACTAATTGCCTGTTTGACCGAAGAATTCTTCAGAAAATTAGTCAGCGTGACCTGTGACCTGATGGTTCTACAGATAATCGACCAGCCGGACATCACTGGACCTTATTTTAGCATCTTCATGTCCTTACATAATCTAGTATGACCTTCATGTCACTTACATAATCTAGTTTGACCTTCATGTTACTTACATAATATAGTTTGACCTTCATGTCACTTACATAATCTAGTTTGACCTTGATGTCACTTACATAATCTAGTTTGACCTTCATCCCATTTATATTATCTAATGGTAACCTTTATATTACTTATCTAGTGATGCCCTTCATGTCACTTATCTAGTTTGACCTTCATGTCACTTATCTAGTGGTGACCTTCACCTCACTTAACTAGTTTGACCTTACCCAGCAATCCCTCCGCGGAGTAAATGGCGACTTGTCTCATGGTCGTCACGACAGGATCCGCGAAGAAAATGTGGATGTAGGCCAAGTTTTGGTCAACCTTCACGCTAGGGAAACAAAATGTGGATGTAGGCCTTGTTTTGGTCAATACGTGGTCTAGAGAAGACACAATGTGGCTGTAGGTCTAGTGAAAACACAATGTGGATGTAGGCCTTGTTTTGTTCAATAAGTAGTCTATGGAATACACAATGTTCTAAGGACAAAGAGTTTAAACACATACTTATGTTTTTTCTTTAATTCGATGAAGTGTTGAGTCTAAAGACAAAGTGTTTAAACACATACTTATGTTTTTGCTTTAATTCGATGAAGTGTTGAGTCTAAAGACAAAGTGTTTAAACACATACTTATGTTTTTGCTTTAATTCGATGAAGTGTTGAGTGTAAAGACAAAATGTTCAAACACATACTTATGTTTTTGCTTTAATTCGATGAAGTGTTGAGTGTAAAGACAAAGTGTTTAAACACAAAACACATACTTATGTTTTTGTTTTAATTCGATGAAGTGTTGAGTCTAAAGACAAAGAGTTTAAACACATACTTATGTTTTTTCTTTAATTCGATGAAGTGTTGAGTCTAAAGACAAACTGTTTAAACACATACTTATGTTTTTCTTTAATTCGATGAAGTGTTGAGTCTAAAGACAAAATGTTCAAACACATACTTATGCTTTTGTTTTAATTCGATGAAGTGTTGAGTCTAAAGACAAAGTGTTTAAACACAAAACACATACTTATGCTTTTGTTTTAATTCGATGAAGTGTTGAGTCTAAAGACAAAGTGTTTAAACACAAAACACATACTTATGTTTTTGCTTTAATTCGATGAAATGTTGAGTCTAAAGACAAAGTGTTTATACACATACTTATGTTTTTGCTTTAATTCGATGAAGTGTTGAGTGTTAAGACAAAGTGTTTAAACACATACTTATGTTTTTGCTTTAATTCGATGAAATGTTGAGTCTAAAGACAAAGTGTTTAAACACATACTTATGTTTTTGCTTTAATTCGATGAAGTGTTGAGTGTAAAGACAAAGTGTTTAAACACATACTTATGCTTTTGTTTTAATTCGATGAAGTGTTGAGTGTAAAGACAAAGTGTTTAAACACAAAACACATACTTATGTTTTTGTTTTAATTCGATGAAGTGTTGAGTCTAAAGACAAAGTGTTTAAACACAAAACACATACTTATGTTTTTGTTTTAATTCGATGAAGTGTTGAGTCTAAAGACAAAGTGTTTAAATACAAAACACATACTTATGCTTTTGTTTTAATTCGATGAAGTGTTGAGTCTAAAGACAAAGTGTTTAAACACAAAACACATACTTATGTTTTTGCTTTAATTCGATGAAATGTTGAGTCTAAAGACAAAGTGTTTATACACATACTTATGTTTTTGCTTTAATTCGATGAAGTGTTGAGTGTTAAGACAAAGTGTTTAAACACATACTTATGTTTTTGCTTTAATTCGATGAAATGTTGAGTCTAAAGACAAAGTGTTTAAACACATACTTATGTTTTTGCTTTAATTCGATGAAGTGTTGAGTCTAAAGACAAAGTGTTTAAACACATACTTATGCTTTTGTTTTAATTCGATGAAGTGTTGAGTGTAAAGACAAAGTGTTTAAACACAAAACACATACTTATGTTTTTGTTTTAATTCGATGAAGTGTTGAGTCTAAAGACAAAGTGTTTAAACACAAAACACATACTTATGTTTTTGTTTTAATTCGATGAAGTGTTGAGTCTAAAGACAAAGTGTTTAAATACAAAACACATACTTATGCTTTTGTTTTAATTCGATGAAGTGTTGAGTCTAAAGACAAAGTGTTTAAACACAAAACACATACTTATGTTTTTGTTTTAATTCGATGAAATATTGAGTGTAAAGACAAAGTGTTTAAACACATACTTATGTTTTTGCTTTAATTCGATGAAATGTTGAGTCTAAAGACAAAGTGTTTAAACACAAAACACATACTTATGTTTTTGCTTTAATACGATGAAATGTTGAGTCTAAAGACAAAGTGTTTAAACACATACGTATGTTTTGTTTTAATTCGATGAAATTTTGAGTCTAAAGACAAAGTTTTTAAACACATACTTATGTTTTTGCTTTAATGCGATGAAATGTTGAGTCTAAAGACAAAGTTTTTAAACACATACTTATGTTTTTACTTTAATTCGATGAAATGTTGAGTCTAAAGACAAAGTGTTTAAACACATACTTATGTTTTTTCTTTAATTCGATGAAATGTTGAGTCTAAAGACAAAGTGTTTAAACACATACTTATGTTTTTGTTTTAATTCGATGAAATGTTGAGTCTGTCGAAATGACGAGGTTGTCACCGAGCTCTTATAGTGTGCCTGTACACAGGGCAGAGGGCAGGGGCACTTCTTCTTGTCGGCACCACCGTAGTACTGCCCTGATACGGTGCCAGAAATAACAGGTAGAGGTCATCACAGATGTAAAAATGTGGACAGGTGTAAATATATATCGGTCAATATATATTGGTGGTCAAAAAGTGTAACAATTTATTTTTAATAAAATAACGATTTTTGTAGCTAGTTTTAGTTGTTGTAGCTTACCTCATCCTATATTAATTTCTGGCGCTTTGTAGAGCACTACCAATCACACAGTTGAAAGTTTTTATAATTAATTTCATTCCGATTGAATTAGGTACGACATATTTATAGAAAGAAGATGGTTGATGTGAAACAGACTAACGGATGCAGACACAACTGTTGTTTGACTCGGTTTGCAAAATGCTGCAGCAATAAAGGAGGCAAGTACTCACTCTGGGCTATTTCGTAGCAGTCCGTCAGGTGCTCCATCTCACAGATGCTCTCGTTACCTGGAATAGAGAGGTTAAGATGTGGATATAATATATTTACACACAAACACATACGCACACACACGCACACACACACACACAAACACACACACACACGCACGCACGCACGCATGCACACACATATACAAAGTTCCAAAAACCTGGATGTAACAAGTACCGACATCCACCGCAAAACATCCACCAGAAACATCCACCACCCACCTGGATGTAAGAAGTGACGACATCCACCGCACACCTCCACCACGAAGCTCATGAAACATTCCGTCTCGCAAGCCTCCTTGGTGTACCTGTTGAACCTGGTCAGTGGGTTCTTGAAGGACCCGCCCCCCGTGTCAACACACGTGCTCCCGCCAAAAGCTTTGTAAGGGGGAGGCAACCCGTGTTTCTGTAGAGGAAAGGGGATATAATCAACAGTTTGGTAAGGGTAGGCAACACAGGATACTGTGAAATATAAGGGAAATAATCAACAGCTTTGTAAGGTGGAGGCAACTCATGTTTCTGTAGAATATAAGGGAAATTGTTAAAAAGGGGAGGCAATCAATATAAACAATCAAACAGCTCATTATGATTTACTAGTGCTGGTCAAACATCCTGTGTTGTCTGACAGGTCATGTGTTGTGTGACAGGTCCTGTGTTGTGTGACAGGTCCTGTGTTGTGTGACAGGTCCTGTGTTGACTGACGTGTCCTGCTGTTGTTCGACGTAAGACATCCTTTGTAAATAAAAGATTCAAGATGGTGGAGTAGAGTGATTTGCTTTTTAACCTTGGCAACGGTGAGACTCACTTAGACAGATACATCTTGTTAACAAACAGATACATCTTGTTAACAAACAGATACATCTTGTTAACAATCCGTGACCCTTAAAGACCCCTTACAACCCCTAAGAACCCCTTACAACCCTTAAGGTAGATGTTTCTTAGAGGTAATTCACGAATAACGCTGAAAAACAACCACAGAATTCTTCATGTGGAAAATGATGAGTTCGGAGAGAACGAGGATGCAAAAAGTTTTGTGGGAAAGTGTAACAGTTAAATGTAGATGAATGTATGTTTTGAATGTGTATCTTAAAATAAACCGGGAGTGATCTCCCCTAAACTTTCTCGAATATTTTTATATAAAATAACAGGGGATGGGAACTCGGGCTATAGACATGATTTTTAATCCATTTTAAATACTTAAAGTTTTAAAAATAGAATAAAATCTCGTAGACAAATTAATTGCACACCAAGTGAACGCCAAATAAAAAAGCGCATAATAGTGCGCAATATTATTAGTACTTTAAAAATTTACATTAGTTTTTTGAGAAATCGGAAGTAGCGTAAATTACTACTTCCGGTCAACGGAAATTACTCAAAATTTAACAGAAGGTAGAGAATTAGATCTTTTACTTACATGTGAAATTTCATTTATCTATCTGAAATAGTACTCAAGTTATAGGCTTTTGAAAAATTCAAAGTAGAAAAAGTACCAATTCCGGTTATCGGAAATCGCTCAAAAGTTGATACGGATCTACGATTTTGATAAAATACTTATATATGAAATTTCATCAACCTAGCAGTAACGGTACTCAAGTTATCGTGTTTACACACGGACACACACACACACACACACACACACACAGACACACAGACATACGGACAAGATTGCAAAATTATGTTTTTCCGTATCAGTGAGATGCAAAACGTCGAGATTTGCAAAAATCTCGATTTTTCGATTTTTTTTTGCACGATTACAAGACTTTCTCTATACTTCGTATATACGAGAAAGTAAAAAGGCGATATGGATCTAAAATGAAAGGTGGGTGTGCGCATGCGCGAAGGAAATGAAGCGAGAGGTAGATAGCGAAAAAACAACATGGCGATATTTGGGAGTGAAGGCAATGTTCTTATGAACCAATAAAATTATGGAAATTCCAGGAACAAGGGTTGATTTTTGTTTTGAGTGTGTGCCATGAAATAGGTAGGAGAAAAAGCCTGTGACAGAAAGGCGTTGGGAAATGTGAGAAATGTGGGAAATGTGGGAAATGTGGGAAATGTGAGAAATGTGGGAAATGTGGGAAATGTGGGAAATGTGGGAAATGTGGGAAACTTACCAGACTTTTTGAGATCTCCACCTCTAATGTCGTATTGCCGGGTACTAAAAACCCGCTGGACAGTGGGAGGGGCTCCTCGTCTGGCTCATGTAGGACAATCTGTGGGAGGGTAGGGGGGGGGAGGGGGAGTGGGTGGTATCGAAACAATTATTAATAGTTTGAATCGTGTGTACCTGCATAAGAATGTGTATGTCTATTTGCGTGGTCCTTAATGAGAATATGTATGTGTATGAGAATGTGTATGAGAATGTGTATGAGAATGTGTATGAGAATGTGTATGAGAATGTGTATGAGAATGTGTATGAGAATGTGTATGAGAATGTGTATGAGAATGTGTATGAGAATGTGTATGAGCATGTGTATGAGCATGTGTATGAGCATGTGTATGAGAATGTGTATGAAAATGTGTATGAGAATGTGTATGAGTATGTGTATGAGAATGTGTATGAGAATGTGTATGAGCATGTGTATGAGCATGTGTATGAGCATGTGTATGAGAATGTGTATGAGAATGTGTATGAGAATGTCATGAGACTGTGTATGGAGTACTGTGTATGAGTATGTGTATGAGCATGTGTATGAGCCTGTGTATGAGCCAGTGTTATGAGCATGTGTCTAGACTGTGAGCATGTGTCTGAGCATGTGACTGAGCATGTGTATGACAGCCTGTGTCTGCGCATGTGTATGGAATGTGTCAGTAAACCCCCCTTCACCTCCATCCTCAATGTGATTAAAACGGAAAGGGATTTCCAACGAGGGGACGTCGAGCAGGATGGTCAAGCCTCTCATGGCGTTACTCACGGCGGTGTCCTCGGTGCTGTTGTCTGACCTGTGGTCACGTGCACGTTGGGGGGGGGGGGGTAGGAAGTGATTAGAATAGTTAATTATATAAATTAATAAACTCGTCAAAAATGCGATACACGACAAACATGGAACAACTGTTGGTGAATGTTAAATCATACATTAACAACAGACCTTTCATTTTGCAATAATTGACCAACTAATTTAACTATTTAATATCGGAGAGAATCATTGAATTGGTCTATTTATTTAGGGGGGGGGGGCTAATCACTTAATAGGAGCCAATAATTCAATCAGTCATCTTTGATCTCCTCTACCCCCCCCCCCCACCCACCTCCCATCCCCTCCCTTTTCATCTCCTATCGTCTACCCTCCCTTCTCTTTATAGCCTCATCTTTCGCCAAACCACACCTGCCCCTATCCTCACCTGTTTCTAGGTAGGTCACGGACGTTCAAGGTGCCGCATAAGCCCATCTGTGTGACCCTGAAAGACACAAATGGACACGGCGTCCAGTAGTAGTCACCCCAGGAGCAGACGGGTTGGTTTTCTGGTTTAGACATCGCTATCTTAAATCGAATCAACGAGTCACGCAGGTAGTTACCCACCAGCTCGCTGCTGCTTCGGTTGGTCGCTGCTGGTCTGGGGACAAAATAGATGTGTGTATATATATATACATATACATACATATATATATATATATACATACATACATACATATATATATATATATATATATATATATATATATATATATATATATATATATATATATATATATATATATATATATATATATATATATATATATATATACTAGCTGCATACCCGGGCTCCGCCACGGTGAATCTTTTTTAAAGTACCAACTTGGAAATAACAAAGCCAAACACAAATACAAAGACAAAAGAAAACGCAAACACAAATGCAAACGCAAAAGCAACGCAGATGCAGACGCAAATAAACAAAAACACAAACGAAAACACAAACACACACAAAAACACAAACAAAAACTCAAAGGAAAACGCTAACGCAATACGCAAACTGAAAAGAAAAAAACACAAAAAAAAACACAAACTCAAACACACACAAAACACAAATTCACAAAAAATATAATATCAAACGCTTAAGCAAACGCATCACGAAAACACAAACGAAACATAAACTCAAACGCAAACACACGCAAAACACAAACTCAAACAAAAACGCAAACACAAATACAAACACACAAAAAACACAAACGAAATATTAACAAAAATGCTTTGAATTTTTCAAAAGCTTATAACTTGAGTACTATTTCAGATAAATGAAATTTCACATGTAAGTAAAATATCTAATTCTCTGCTTTCTGTCGAATTTTGAGTAATTTCCGTTAAAAGAAATTTTTTTTCTAAAAAAAAAACGCACATAAATTTATAAAGTACTAAACACATTCCGCACTATTATACACATTTTGTTTTGCGTTCACTTGGTGTGCAATTCTTTTTTCTACGAGGTTCTATTCTATTTTTAAAAGTTCAAGTAATTTTAAATGGATTATAAATATTGTCTATATCCCGAGTTGCCATCCCCTCTTGTTTTATGTAAGAATATTCGAGAAAGATCATATATATATATATATATATATATATATATATATATATATATATATATATATATATATATATATATATATATATATATATATCAGTGGCGTAGCGAGGTCGGGTGTCACCCGGTGCGGCACTTAATGGTGTCACCCCCCCCCCAAAGGCCTTGGTGTCACCCCCTAAATGGTGTCACCCGGTGCGGTCCGCCCCCCCCCCCCGCCCCCCCCCCCCCCTCGCTACGCCTCTGATATATATATATATATATATATATATATATATAATATTAAAACGTTATATATATATATATATATATATATATATATATATATATATATATATATATATATATATATATATATATATATATATATATATATATATATATATATATATAAGTGTGTGTCACATTACGAATAAAGTCCCACTCCCAACTCCTCCACTTTCCCCCTTTCACTTTCGTAACAATACAGGATCTAATCTATATGTCGGCCCTTACTTTTGCATTTTTTTCTTGATCGGTCGGACCTGGTTCATGTAGATGCCTGTTATCTCTGTCAGCTCAGCCAGATAGAATGCCGTCAGGTCATCTTTTAGACCTTTGACCTCATTTCGGTTCATGATGTTCTGGTCACAGAAGGTCACCGACGGGAAGTCATTCTCTGTGACGTAACTGATGTCCACGCTGTCAATCAAAGTATACATGCTTTATTTTATGCTTTATTTCATGCTTTAACGGGTAGCTTAAATACACTTGAACCAAATCCACAATGCACACTTTAAACACATCTTTAAACAGCAGTTTAAACCAGTAGTGGATTAAGGGGAGGGGGGGGGGCTGAGAGGGCTGCAGTCAGGGGCCCCGATCTTTAGGGCCCCCCCCCCTACATGTTTGAATGTTAAAATCACAAACTTAAATCAATTTTTTTTCAAAATATCAAACACGTGGACACGCTTGAGTATAAATACCACCTCTCATCACCACCTACCCAGACATTGTTTAAATAAAACCGAAGCTCCCATGACCAGCGTTCGCTAATGGCAATATAATAACTTGATTTTAGCGTTAAACAGCACAAACAGCAGCCGAATTGTGACAAATGATTAACCCATCGTTAAAAAAAACCGAGCAATTTGGTGTTTTTTTCGTCAGATCGCATCAGATCGCGTCAGATCGCGTCAGATTGCATCAGATCGCGTAACGCGCTGGTAACAAAAATGTAAAAATAATACAGGATCAACACCGTGAACTAGTTCTCACTCGCAAGCATTCAGACAACGTGCATCACTGGCTTATACTAGCGATCAATGAGCACATTCCTGACCGTATTTAAATTGTGTTAAAATGACAAAACATTTCTTTTACCAAAGGCAAAAATTATGAGTTGTTCCTCGTGAAAAAATTCAAAACTCCCCGCCCTTCTAATTTTAACACCAGCTGTCGTAGCTTTCTGCTTTGAAACTGTTTACAAAAAGCGACGACGCTCCCTAAAACATTATACAGTTTATTTCTGGTATACAATTCGGTTGATTATTTAATTAACAAACACTGAATCTTAACAAAACAACTAGGAAAATATGTTTTACTTCAACATGTAGCTGTATGAGTGATACGTCTAATGGCTTACAAATGGCGCTTTGATCTAAACGTAATAGAGAAAATGTGTAGACCTACTGGTCCGGCTATTTTTACCGCACGTAATCCCTACATTTTTAAAAGGTAGTAAGTAACCATGTTTTGAATGTAGTTATTTGAAGTGAAAGGTGGGTTAGTATCGACATGCCGGACGACGTGACGGACGATATGCCGGACGACGTGACGGACGACATGCCGGACGACATGACGGACGACGTGACGGACGACATGCCGGACGACATGACGGACGACATGACGGACGACATGCCGGACGACATGACAGACGACATGCCGGATGACATGCCGGACAACATGACGGACGACATGCCGGACGACGTGACGGACGACATGCCGGACGACATGACGGACGACATGCCGGATGACATGCCGGACAACATGACGGACGACATGCCGGACGACATGACGGACGACATGACGGACGACATGACGGACGACATGACGGACGACATGCCGGACGACATGACAGACGACGTGACGGACGGCATGACGGACGGCATGACGGATAACATGACGGACGACATGCCGGACGACATGCCGGACGACATGCCGGACCACATGCCGGACGACATGACGGACGACGTGACGGACGACATGACGGACGTCATGCCGGACGACGTGACGGACGACATGACAGCGGACATGACGGATGACATCGTGCAATGAACGCACCTGGTGACAGTGGGATAGTTGTAGTAGTCTGACATCTGCCAGTAGATGACTGTACCCAGGAACAAGGCCATCACACATACAACAAACATCCAGAATATACTGAAAGTTAAAACAACTTAGCTCATGAAAACAATTCACTTGAATAATTAATGGTCTGTGATGCTCAAATGGAAGGGGACACAATCGACACAAACTTAATGGTAATATTTATTTTACACAATTATTTCCCTTGCAATAATTTTAAAAATCAAAGGGCTTCAAATATAGAAGCCCTAACAAGCATATAAAAACGAAATAAATTTGCTCAGATGTTTGCTCTCAGAGACTAAAATAAATAAACATTTTGTCACCATCAAATTTCTTGCATGCTGACAGATGAGGTCAAATGTCAAGACTTTTTTCTGATCGGCAATTTGGTTTTAATTCATTAACATAGAAAAAAGAACACCTAGTAACGCGATTAAATAACATACACAGTTGGGGGTGGGGGGGGGGGGGGGGTGGCGTGTTGACGTTGAGAGGAGGATGAAAGTTAAAAGGTTATGATGGTTACAAATTGTAATAAAAAAATTGATAATAATTAAAATTGATAGTACTAATTGAAACAAAAAACTTGATGATGATAAAAATTGATGATGGTAAAATGATGATAATAAAAAAACTGTTAATAATAAAAAAAACTGATGATAATAAAAATTAACAATAATAAAAATTGATGATAATAAAAAAGGATCGACTACCCAAGGTTAACCAGGCTCTGTAAATATTTGACAAAACGACGTGTGATTTTTTTTTGGGGGGGGGGGGGGTGAAGAGGGGGGGGACGTTAAAGAAACGTGACACTGTTTATGGATGACGTCACACACATACATATATATCTATATGTGTGTGTGTTTGTGTGTGCGTCTGTGTGTTTATGTGTGTCATGTATCACGTGATTAAAACCACATTTGCAGATTAAACTCTACCAGCTTGGTTGACCACGCCCAAAAAAACCCAGCCCATCTGTGAATGAGAAGAGTTTAATCTCCTAAAACTGAAAAGCAATTTAATCGACGCAATCAAATACAATCCATTACGGCTCGCTTCCCGCTGTGTTCCCGGATGTGACGTCAGGTCACGCGCGTCGGTTTTTATTTCCTGCCGATTTTGATTTGAAACGTTGCCTAGCTCATTCATTAAAGATAGAATTTAATGGGGCCCTCAATTTACATTTGGTTTCATGTACTTAGTTCTTGTAGAATAAAACCTGGAGCTAAACTAAACTGTTGACGATTGGGACGCAGGGGGAGGGAGATGGAGGGGGGGGGGGGGAATAAAAGGTTGTCACGTGATGTCCTATTTCAAGAACAGCCGCCAGTAATGACTAGGTATTACGCAAATGAGTCGTCTGCTGTGAATCTTGCTGTTGCTTGCAGTTTGGTGCTCCAGTGTAAGGTTCAGATATCAGTAGGACACACTAGCAGTTAGACGTCAGACAGACACCAGCTGAGGTAGCCAGAGACATGTAGCCACAGACATGTAGCCAGTGGTAGCAAGAGACATGTAGCCACAGACATGTAGCCACAGACATATAGCCGGAGACATGTAGCCACAGACATGTAGCCACAGACATGTAGCAAGAGACATGTAGCAAGAGACATGTAGCCACAGACATGTAGCCACAGACATGTAGCCACAGACATGTAGCCACAGACATGTAGCCACAGACATGTAGCCACAGACATGTAGCAACAGACATATAGACACAAACATGTAGCCATTGACATGTAGCCATTGACATGTAGCCACAGACCTGTAGCCACAGACATGTAGCAACAGACATATAGACACAAACATGTAGCCATTGACATGTAGCCATTGACATGTAGCCACAGACCTGTAGCCACAGACATGTAGCAACAGACATATAGACACAAACATGTAGCCATTGACATGTAGCCATTGACATGTAGCCACAGACCTGTAGCCACAGACATGTAGCCAGAGACATGTAGCCACATACATGTAGCCACAGACATGTAGCCACAGACATGTAGCAACAGACATATAGACACAAACATGTAGCCATTGACATGTAGCCATTGACATGTAGCCACAGACCTGTAGCCACAGACATGTAGCAACAGACATATAGACACAAACATGTAGCCATTGACATGTAGCCATTGACATGTAGCCACAGACCTGTAGCCACAGACATGTAGCAACAGACATATAGACACAAACATGTAGCCATTGACATGTAGCCATTGACATGTAGCCACAGACCTGTAGCCACAGACATGTAGCCAGAGACATGTAGCCACATACATGTAGCCACAGACATGTAGCCATTGATATGTAGCCACAGACATGTAGCCATTGACATGTAGCCATTGACATGTAGCCATTGACATGTAGCCACAGACATGAAGCCACAGACATGTAGTCACAGACATGTAGCCAGAGACATGTAGCCAGAGACATGTAGCCATTGACATGTAGCCAGTGGTAGCAAGAGACATGTAACAACAGACATATAGCCGGAGACATGTAGCCACAGACATGTAGCCACAGACATGTAGCCAGTGGTAGCAAGAGACATGTAGCCACAGACATGTAGCCAGTGGTAGCAAGAGACATGTAGCCACAGACATGTAGCCAGTGGTAGCAAGAGACATGTAACAACAGACATATAGCCGGAGACATGTAGCCGGAGACATGTAGCCACAGACATGTAGCCACAGACATGTAGCCACAGACATGTAGCCAGTGGTAGCAAGAGACATGTAGCCACAGACATGTAGCCAGACATGTAGCCACAGACATGTAACCAGTGGTAGCAAGAGACATGTAGCCACAGACATGTAGCCAGACATGTAGCCACAGACATGTAGCCAGTGGTAGCAAGAGACATGTAGCAACAGACATGTAGCCGGAGACATGTAGCCAGAGACATGTAGCCAGAGGTAGCCACCACCTGGTAGCCTACAACTAAGCCTGGCCTCAAAGACGAGAAGATTTGTTTAGAGACAAGGACAACCAACAACACGAAGGTTAAACATAGACCGGACATAATTCAGTGTCAGACAGTCTACTGACCTCAACTGACCAACACTGACCAACAAACTTTCCTAAATGTAATTAACCATTCCTACTTCCTATTCCATTTCTCTCCCTGGAGGAACCAAAGATCACGATCTTCGACTACTTTGTTTTTATTACATGCCATGCGAATCTAACCGCCCCCTCCACCTTTTTTTTCATTAAAAAAGATTTTCTATTTGACTTGCACCACCCTCTTTCCTCCCCCCCCCCCCCGTGGGTCCCGTCCCAGCGCCTGTCTGGTGGTGTCATTTAATTGTCCCTATGGGGTTGGGCCCCATCCATCGTGTTACCATCTCATATTTCTTACTTCCAGTGTACGTGTCTGTGTATGTACATCCCACGCAGTTTTACAATTTGGTTCGGTCGATGTACTTGTGTGAAGTGTCTTAAAGACGTTCTGCATACATATCCAACGTAGTTAAATACTTTGGTTTGGCAGTTGTGTTGAGTGTCTTAAAGACTTGTCTATGAAGCTCTGGAACCTGTGTGCTGCTGTTCGTGTTACCCCCACCCCCAAAGACATGGAAGGTAACCCATTATACCACACCACACAAAACATTGACCGCTCAAAAATCAATATGTGATATGTTCAGAGCAAGTGGCTAGCAAGATTTTGAGACAACTTTGTTCTACCCATCAGATTTGTCTACCCAGGGGAGGTAACAAAACCCGTTTTGTGACCTGCAGTTGTCTGTACCTAAGTGTAAACGTCGGTCCTAGCGCAGGGGAGATAATCTCGGCCCCATCTATTCTTCTACATAACAGTGAGTGACGGCCCCTTGAGGAATACTTTGGCGTGGTAACAAATGTTTAGGTGGGGCTGGAAGAAACAATTTACCACAGTGGTACGGGGCGCCACTGACAATGGCAGTGCTAAGGGGCGCCACTAACAATGGCAGTGCTAAGGGGCGACATTAATAATGGCAGTGCTATGGGGCGCCACTAATAATGGCAGTGCTAAGGGGCGCCACTAATAATGGCAGTGCTAAGGGGCGCCACTAATAATGGCAGTGCTAAGGGGCGCCACTAATAATGGCAGTGCTAAGGGGCGCCACTAACAATGGCAGTGCTAAGGGGCGCCACTAATAATGGCAATGCTAAGGGGCGCCACTAAATACCACAGTGCTATGGGGCGCTACTAAATACCACAGTGCTATGGGGCGCCACTAAATACCACAGTACTATGGGGCGCCACTGACAATGGCAGTGCTAAGGGGCGCCACTAAATACCACAGTACTATGGGGCGCCACTAACAATGGCAGTGCTAAGGGGCGCCACTAAATACCACAGTACTATGGGGCGCCATTAACAATGGCAGTGCTAAGGGCGCCACTAACAATGGCAGTGCTAAGGGGCGCCAACTAAAAACCACAGTGCTATGTGTAGCCACTAACAACGACAGTGGTAAGGGGCGCCATTAAATATAAATGGTGAAAATAACACAAATATAGTAAGTCATACAGCTAGTTATGTTAGGAAGGATATTTTTTTAAACAGCAAGAATTTTTTTTTAATAAAAAAATTAATTGATATGAAACCTTAATATTAATGTGAACAAAAATGTCTATTTCAGCTATATTTAATGGTATAGATTGTTTAGTGAGTCTCTACAGGTCAGTAAAGTGTCGATTGTCTACCCTAGCGTTATATTCTGTGTGAGATGGGAAATAACTTGTGTTATTTGATTAAACACCTACTGTCGTCCTCGGTACAGCTCCGACCCCACGATGGACGGGACGCCATGCATGGTTGAGTTCTGGGCATAGTAGACTAGCAGATCCTGGGGGTAGAGAACATCATGATGTCAGAACATACATGGTGAAACATCGTGATGTCAAAACATACATGGTAAAACATCGTGATGTCAAGAGATACATGGTAGGATCATCGTGATGTCAGAACATACATGGTAAAACATCATGATGTCAAAACATACATGGTAAAACATCGTGATGTCAAGAGATACATGGTAGGATCATCGTGATGTCAGAACATACATGGTAAAACATCATGATGTCAGTACATACACAACAGGAACATCACGATGTCAATAGCAACCAATTTAACAATACAAGATGTTTGTGAGAGCCGTAGAAATTGATGGCGAATTGACATGTAGTTATAAAACAATGGACTTTATTTAAATTATATCTTGCCCTTTCCTTGCAAATGATCAAATTGTATTGCCATTTGTGTTACAAACTTTATTGAAAAGGACTCAAAGTGCGATGTTCATTAAAAGGTAACTATTTAATACTTTTAAGTTTAAATTTAATATTATTTATTTATAATTTATTACATTATAAAAATGTAATATTTATAGTATTCTATTCTAAAAAGATATGTATATAATACATATAAAATTATATATATATATATATATATATATATATATATATATATATATATATATATATATATATATATATATATATATATATGCGCCTCGACTGTTAAGATCATGCTTTTAAATTTAAAAAGTATAAGAAGTAGGAAAAAAATAAATAGAAAAATGCATGCGTTCTTACTCGGTTCGTTAACTGTGGACGGTCAAAAATAAAATTAAAATAAAATCTTTTTTTTTTCAAGCTTTTGGAAAATTCTTATTTTTGTCTGTCTCTCAAATTAATCACTAAAAAGGTACTAAATGGCTAAATTACATAAAAAAAAGGTTTAAAAAAAGCAATAAATGTGACACTTTGGTTGGCGTGTAGTGCTAGCAGTATAGAATGAGCTTAAGAAACACAACATGCGACTGTGTGAGAAAGTTAAAGGCCATAGCTTAAAGCTTGGGTGTCCATATGCGGCCATACAATATGTGGCCATGCTATATGCGACCCTACAATATGCGACCCTACAATATGTGGCCCTACATTATATGGCCCTACAATATGTGGCCCTACAGTATATTTAGTCTCGGACAGAGGGCAAAATAATGTATCAAACAAACGCATTCAGTTATATGTGGGCTACAGCCTAAAGCAACATTCTTTATGGGTGTCGTTTTTCTTTAAGGTGAAGAGGTAACTATCCTTGATTACCTATCTATTTTCATACCATGCTTACAATTATCATGCATATAATTAATTAAAAATTACCTTTTAAAAAATTATAATTTAAAAAAAGGGAAGTAATTTGCTTGGCTTAATGTACAATGTTGTAGAATAGTCACATCGTACGTTTAGGGGTTGCGGAGATTAAAGTGATTCAAGCACTTATAATACTGCCAAAAAATGTGCAGAATAGAGAAGTGTGGAAACAATTAGTGAATTTTCCGATTGTTTAATTAATTAAACTCATGCGTCTAAAAATAAAATTAACTCCAAACCATCATTTGAATTAAAATAAGAAAAAAATGGCGTGCAAAAAACAAGAAAAATGGAAGCGAAGAAATGAGCTTTAAAATGCAATCTATTAATAGCTACAACTGTCAAACGTGTCCCACCTTGAGGGTAAACCCGAGGGAGCAGAAAACGAATATGGCGTGTTTAAAAACTTCAACTCAACTCAGACATAATCGCGAAACAAATATTTTTTTTAAAATAAGGATTCTGCCACACTAGTTAATCACCGATTATATATATGTATATATATAAAAATATAAATATATATATATATATATATATATATATATATATATATATATATATATATATATATATATATATATATATATATATATATATATATATTCTACTATGTCAGTTTAAATATACATCAAATAGATTGTTAATGATTCATCAATTTTTTAAAACTTTAACTGTTTCTAATCCATTGTTTGCTTTAAGCCTTGACATACAGACAGATGATGCATGAAATACCAAATAAGAAAAGAAAGTAGTGTTTGAACATTGAATCATTGAGCAAAGTTTCATCAATACAAATACAAGCCATTGAAATATTGAAATTACATAAAGAGAAAAAACGTATGTAAGTTAGCCATATTGAAATCTTTATGTTAGCCGTATTGAAATAAGTTAGCCATGTAGAAATCTATAAGTTAGCCAAGTCAAGTTAAAATCTATAAGTTAGCCTTGTTGAAATCTATAAGTTAGACATATTAAAATATATAAGTTAGCCATATTGAAATCTATAAGAAAGTCTACCCACCCCCCCCCCCCCCCCCCCAACGAAATGGAATTTATATAGGAAATATATTTACTTTTAACAGTGTCGTCCGCCATCCCCGGAAATTTTAGTCCCCCCCCCCCCCCGAAAATTTCAAGTGCCCCCCCCCCACCCCCCGGAGAAAAAAGTCTGGAAGAAACACTGAGTGTCAGCTGTCTATACCTCAGGCCGTGTCTACAACCAGCTGATCTAGCTGTTAATTACTTAAGTTTCAGATACTAATTATGTAAATAAAAATATCTTAATGTAAATTGTACTATTTTAAGATTCGGAATATCAAAAGTAATATGACCCACACGACCTCTATGACCCACACGACCCCTATGACCCACACGACCCCTATGACCCACACGACCCCTATGACCCACACGACCCCTATGACCCACACGACCCCTATGACCCACACGACCCCTATGACCCACACGACCCCTATGACCCGCCGACAACTTCCGCTCCACCAAGCGGCACCTACGACTTCCGGCAACCCCCCCCCCCCCCCTCTCACGCCAAACGATTGCCAGGCCTATCGGCCGTGAACTACTATCGGCCGTGAACTACTATCGGCCGTGAACTACTATCGGCCGTGAACTACTATCGGCCGTGAACTACTATCGGCCGTGAACTACTATCGGCCGTGAACTACTATCGGCCGTGAACTACTATCGGCCGTGAACTACTATCGGCCGTGGACTACCATCGGCCGTGAACTACTATCGGCCGTGAACTACTATCGGCCGTGAACTACTATCGGCCGTGAACTACTATCGGCCGTGAACTACTATCGGCAACATTTGTGTACGTCGCTCCGTCTACCTTTCTCTCCTCCCAGTAGAAGAGAGGTGACCCCTTTCTCTTGTTCGACCAAAAGGAAAGTTACCGACCCCTTTACCATAAAGTTACCGACCCCTTTACCATAAGGTTGTAGACCCCTTCTCTCCGTCTACCAATAGAAGGTTGCCGACCCTCTTTCTAAGGTCAAAGGTCTACCCATCTTACGTGACAGTTAATCACGGATGTGACAGGAATGACCTTTGTTGTCACGAAATTAGAGAGTGATGTCATTTTCTACTGGTCGTTTTTTTTTAAAATTAACTAGGTGTTAATTTGACCGGGTGGGGGAGGGGGGGGGGACAAGAGTGGGACCCCGGATAACAGTCATTTCATTAATATGTAAATGATGAGATCACGTGACTGGCTGCTGGGGGATATCGCGTGTCTGATTGGTCGGCTATAAAAATTTGTCCTTGAACTTGGTTTATTTATATGAGAAAAACCGATCCCGCCATATCTAATTATCAGCGGCTATGAATGAAAATGGACAGCTTTTCTTTATCGAGTTAACCAGACACAGCAACACGTCAAGTCAAGGTCGTTGGCGGTAACCAAGGTCAGCAGGGACCCACGTGATCTTCCCTTTCTATGACAATAGTCCATATTAGTTCATATGGACCCCGTAGATTTGGACATACATCAAAGGGGAACAACTCCAATGTTGTGGTACACTTCCCATAAGGGAGGTAACCGGCCCTGGACCACCGTGGGTAATATATCGTCTGACGTGGGCCTTGTGGTCTAATGGAGATGGATGGAGTGGGGGTGGGAGGGGGGGGGGCAGGCTTTGGGATTCTTGAACATAGTGGCCCGCGGGTCTGTTGTTAGAAGTGCCGGTCATGTGATAGGGTCTGTGTACCACGTGATACTTCTTGATTGTCACGTGGTGATGTAGGTCTGTTTACAACGTGATTTATTGTTTGTGTGTACCATGTGATACTGTGTGTGTACCACGTGATGATGCTCGTCACGTGGTGATGTTTGTGCCACGTGATTATGTGTGTACATTGTGGCGATGTTAGTGTGTACCGCGTGGCATTGTTTGTGTACCACGTGATACTCTTTGTGCAGCACGTGCTTTTTTTTATGTCCATCACGTGATGAGGTATGTGTACCACGTGATGCGGTGGTTACCATTTCTCCACTCTTGTCCTTAATAGTTGGGAATAAAAACCAGTTCTAAATGTAAATGTTTTTTCATCCCGGCCCTATTGGGACGAGGGGGGGGGGGGGGGGTAACCTCCCGAGGGACGGGCCGCCATGATTGATTAACCACGCAGGGGCGGCAGCTTGGGACCCCCGGGGAACTGAGCTAAACTTTGACGGTCTCCTCACAAAGCTCCAGCTTAGCTGCACTAGTCTTTTCCCTAAACTCCTCATTAGAGTAAAAGTGTTTGTCTTTTTTATTAAGCTCAAGCTAATCTGGACTTTGGTCTCTAAGCTCTAGATAGGAGCTAAAATTTATGATAGTCTGCACAGTGAGGAATAATTGAAACGGAAGTTGTATTTTTCACTCTTCTCACAGTTACCCCACCCCCCTCCCCCCCGTCGGTAGATGATGACGCAATCAACAAAACGTGTCTGTGATTGGTTGGTTGAGGCAGTCTATTATCGCCATTTTTGTACATGTCACAGAAGCTAACATAACGTTTTCCCAACCAGTTGATAAGTGGGGCAACAGGCAGTATAACATATGGTCGACCACCCTCCCCCCCCCCACCCCGCAACAGGCAGTATAACATATGGTCGACCCCCCCACCCCCACCCCCTTAAGTTTTTAAGTTTGCTCAACTGTAATGACGTTGCCACCCCATTTTTTTGTCAACGCCTCATCCCCCCCCCAACTTTGGTCTGTTCTCTACCTAACGTTGATCAACCCCCCCCCCCCACCCCCGACGCTAGTGAACTCAACTGCTCCTTCAAAAGAGCACACAAGACACGCATCAAGTAAATAAACACAGCGTGTTGTGTGTCACCGGCGTCAAACCAACCAGTTCAGTTTTACACGGCTAGAATTTATGAAACACACACACACACACACACACACTCACACACACCAAACGTCCAAATTAACTACTTTTAAACCCCCATATTGACCTAAATGACCTACCTTCACCGTCCCCCCATATTGACCTAAATGACCAGATGACCTACCTTTACCCCCCACCCCATATTGACCTAAATTACCAGATGACCTACCTTCACCGCCCCCCATATTGACCTAAATGACCAGATGACCTACCTTTAACCCCCATATTGACCTAAATGTCTAGATGACCTACCTTTACCCCCACCCCATATTGACCTAAATGACCAGATGACCTACCTTCACCTACCCCCCCCCCCCATATTGACCTAAATGACCAGATGACCTACCTTTACCCCCCACCCCATATTGACCTAAATTACCAGATGACCTACCTTCACCGCCCCCCATATTGACCTAAATGACCAGATGACCTACCTTTACCCCCACCCCATATTGACCTAAATGACCAGATGACCTACCTTTAACCCCCATATTGACCTAAATGACCAGATGACCTACATTTAACCCCCATATTGACCTAAATGACCAGATGACCTACCTTTAACCCCCATATTGACCTAAATGACCAGATGACCTACCTTTGACCCCCATATTGACCTAAATGTCTAGATGACCTACCTTCCCCACCCCCATATTGACCTAAATGTCTAGATGACCTACCTTCCCCCCCCCCCATATTGACCTAAATGACCAGATGACCTACCTTCCCCCCCCCCCCCCCCATATTGACCTAAATGACCAGATGACCTACCTTTACCGGCTCCTCGTCATCGTTATCAGCCTCGTATATTTTCTTCTTCTCGTGAGCCGGACTGTTGTTGGCCACAACCACCGACGCCGGTCGACTTCCGGCTTCCTGGGAGTCCGGATTGAGGGCCTCCCGCTCGTCCATTGTGCTCAGCGGGTAGTTGTTTTCCGGTTTAATCTGCTTCCGGGTCATGGTAGTAGGAAGTTCAAAGACAATTGTTTTAGGCGAATTTGACGTCACCCTTCTTACGTCAGCAGTTCACATGACGTCATAATTACGTCACATTGGTTTCACTGGATTGATCCGATGTGGTCTAGGAGCTTCTAGAATAAAATAAAAAAATGACAAACGTTGTACAATAGGTGCCTCCATCTTGACCCGCGCATGCGTAAAGCAAAAAAAAAAATGTAATTGTAATCACAGCTGCTGTCTACTTAAAAACGTACACTCAATGCATTACAGAAGTGATAAATCATCCAGAAATGGTATGTTGTCAGAAAGCATTGCTTATAGTTTAGGTACTTTGAATAGGTGCTAACTTGGGTACTTTACTATTCCCAGCAGCATACACAGGGCTTTTCTAGAAACTTCCTAAAAGTTGAACTATAACCCCTCCCAACGCACCTTACCAAACCCTTACCAAACCCTTACCAAAACCTTACCAAACCCTTACCAAACCCTTGCCTAACCCTTACCAAACCCTACCAAACCCTTACCAAACCCTAGATGAAATGACCAGAACACAAAACGATGGTTCTCAATTCATACCCGCTGACCCCATATCTACCCTTTATTAATCTGAAACTATTTACACCTTCATTTGAACGTCACCCCCAATCGTATATCAACCCCCACTGGATCAATAGTGACTCAATAATGGTCCCACATTAGTCCCCAATGACCCCTCTACTGATCCCACCCCCAATGACCCCTCGACTGGCCCCACCCCAAATGACCACTCTACTGATCCACCCCCAATGACCCCTCGACTGGCCCCACCCCAAATGACCCCTCGACTGGTCCCACCCTTAATGACCCCTCGACTGGTCCCAACATCCCACAGCCGTTAGTCACTAAGTTACCAGCAATGACAGCCGTCTGTAAACAGCCTGTTATCTACGTGTCGTCTGGAAGATGCAGCCATAAATAAACTGAAATAACGGGAATCTCCAGAGGAGCTAATTGGATATAAATAGCTTTTTTCAACAGCATTCCCAATCGTCTGCTTATCAGCCCTGTGAAAAGGGTCTGCGCTAAAAAGGCCACGTGTTCGCCGCGCCGTCTAGCGGAGTGGTTGAGTGGTGCTGACCTATCTGGAATCTACATCTGACAAAAAGTGTTTTTTACTTTCTCGTATATACGAAGTATAGAGAAAGTATTGTAATCGTGCAAAAAAAAAAATCGAGATTTTTACAAATCTCGACGTTTTACACCTCACTGATACGGAAAAACATAATTTTGCAATCTTGTCCGTATGTCTGTGTGTGTGTGTGTGTCTGTGTGTCTGTCTGTCCGTGTGTAAACACGATAACGTGAGTACCGTTACAGCTAGGTTGATGAAATTTCATATATAAGTATTATATCAAAATCGTAGATCCGTATCAACTTTTGAGCGATTTCCGACAACCGGAAGTGGTACTTTTTCTACTTTGAATTTTTCAAAAGCCTATAACTTGAGTACTAATTCAGATAGATAAATGAAATTTCACATGTAAGTAAAAGATCTAATTCTCTACCTTCTATCAAATTTTGAGTAATTTCCGTTGACCGGAAGTACTAATTTACGCTATTTCGGATTTCTCAAAAAACGCAAGTAAATTTATAAAGTACTAATAATATTGCGCACTATTACGCACATTTGGTTTTGGTGCTCGCTTGATGCGCAATTTTTTTTCTACTAGATTTTATTCTATTTTTAAAAGTTTAAGTAAACAAAAAGCATGTCTATATTCCGAGTTGACATCCCACGTAGTGTTATATTAGAATATTCGAGAAAGTTTAGGGGAGATCACTCCCGGTTTATTTTCCTACAACGTCGACAACATAGAAAACAGTTTTACAACATAGGTCTAGAAAGAAAACAGTTTCACAACATAGACCTAGAAAGAAAACAGTTTCACAACATAGACCTAGAAAGAAAATAGTTTCGCAACGCCGATCTGGAAAGCAGTTTTATACCACAGATCTAGAAAAATTCGCGGAACGTTGACATAAAACTACAACTGACTACACCACGTGACAACCGGGTCGTTAAATATGGGCTCTTAGATCGAAAGCGCGGGAAATATGTCCATAGCGTGCCACTGGTGCCAACATTTCCTGAATGTGCCAGCATGGCAAGTCTGTATTTTTTGATTTTGGCCAACAATACGCAATAAAAAAAAAAATAAGCCGGCCTTCATATCGATGCAAAATACTCCTGTTATTTCAACTTTTTGTTCCGTCATATTTCAAGTAAAAAAATATTTTTAAAAAACCTCATTAATTAAACTCAGAACCAAACACAAGAAACGAAACCTAAAAACTTCTATTAGACGAGTTGCCATCTTTTTGTGTTAACACCTGGCCTAACACTGGACAACTCGGCCTCAGTGTTTCTTCCAGACTTTTTTCTCCGGGGGGGGGGGGGGGGGGCACTTGAAATTTTCGGGGGGGGGGGGGGGGGCGGTAGACTTTCTTCGGGGGGCGGACACTGTTAAAAGTATATATTTTCTATATAAATGATATAAATTTCATTTCGTTCGGGGGGGGGGGGGGGGGCGGGAAAAAAATTTCGGGGCTAAGTTCCCCCCCCCCCCCCCCCCCGAAGAGATGCCTGGAAGAAACTCTGCTCGGCCTGGTATAAGTGTTGAAAATCTGACAAGTGTCGATGTTAAGGTTTGTGTTGAGGTTAGGGTTTGTGTTGAGGTTAGGGTTTTTGTTGAGGTTAGGGTTCACATGCTGTCATACATCAGCTAGACTGTCACAAAGTGACTGTCAAACTGTCACACACCAGTTAACCCTCACACCATCAGCAAGACGGTACCAAGAGCTACCTCTGTGCACGTGTACTGTTGCCGTGTTACCTGCAACTCACCTGTCTGGTGTGACCGACCAAGCGGAACGGTCAGAGAATGACGGTCACTCTAACACACCAGCGGCGTTTGTCCAACGAACTGTGACAGTTAGATTGTTGGTGAGTAAATACAACTCTGACGGCATGTGTTTACTCCCCCACCCACTCCCACCTAAGGCTACATTTTGCTGCTGTTGTTGAAGAAATCGTGTACACAAACTGGAGTTGTTTTTAAAGCTATGTACAAAACCTAGTGTACACACTTATGTACACAGTTGATGTGTTAAAAAATCTGGCACTGTGCAGAATAAAGCTGACCTAATTTTTTGTGTTGAACGTGTTGCGGTGATACACGCTTTAACATATGATCTTTTCAATTAGCGGAACTAATTAGGTCAAGTCATCATCACCGAGCGGAATAGACAGGTTCCGAACCCACACCTTGATGTTGTGACAGCAGCCGGCGTCACGCCACTTGATGCCAGCACAACCCCGCTGCTCTCATCAGGCGATAAGCCGGCACAACTCTGACGGAGACTGTTTAGACGTTTCTGCCATTGCGGCATCCGGTAGTCTCGTCTGATGGTTTTCAAAGCACGAACCTCGTTAGCGTCGTTTGTTACGTCTGATATGGGTATATGCGTATGTGGGTATGTGTGTGTATGTGTGTGAGGGAGAGAGAGAATTTGAGTGGGTGGGTACACCATAGAGGGGAGGGTGTGGGGTGCTATGTTGTGTGGTGAATGTATTCGGGGGTGGGGGGGGGCTATATTGTGTAAGCCAAGTTTCTCGGAAGTAACATGAACTTCCTATGACGTCATACGTTATCAACTGTATGGTGCCCCCCCCCACCCAGATGTAGCTGTACCTGTGATCGTCTGATAGCTGTGTTCTATACACTCTAGTCTGTAGGTGTGGGGAAACCTAAGCCCGTAGAGAAGCTGTAGACTGGAAGATTGTGGGCACGTCACTGAGATCTTACAACAATAGGATTAAAGCGGCTCAACAAGGGGACGTAACTGATTTAAACAAACAAGGGCAGATAACTCTTGAGGCTCAAACTAGAATATCAAAATATGTTGCAACAATTGCAATCAAGTTTTTAACTTTTTGACTTAGCCATTCTATAACTAATTAAGTTGAGTTGGCAATGCTATAAGTAAATAATCTTTTTAACTTAGCCATTCTATAATTAAGTCGAGTTGGCCATTCTATAAGTAAATAAATGAGGTGTGATGGTCTCATACTTGTGGCAAGTAAGGACAAAATCCCAGCAGTGTTACACACGTTAAAATTCACGGGAAAATGAGTGGTGATCACGCTAAGGCAGACTCAGTTCATCATCCAAACACCACCCAAACATCACCCAAACATCACACAAACACCACCCAAACATCACCCAAACATCACCCAAACATCACCCAAACACCACCCAAACATCACCCAAACATCACCCAAACATCACCCAAACATCACCCAAACATCACCCAAACATCACACAAACATCACCCAAACATCACCCAAACATCACCCAAACATCACACAAACACCACCCAAACATCACCCAAACATCACCCAAACATCACCCAAACATCATCCAAACATCACCCAAACACCACCCAAACATCACCCAAACATCACACAAACACCACCCAAACATCACCCAAACATCACCCAAACATCACCCAAACATCACACAAACATCACCCAAACATCATCTAACATTACCTAAACATCACAAAACATGTCAAACATTATTTAAACATCACCAACGATTACTAACCATCACCAAACATCACAAGTCACTCAAGTGCTGGATGATTGTAAAAACACATTTATTTCACTCCCGACGAGACCAACAAGCATAAAACTAAAAACGGTTGAACGTCGAGTGAGTTGCCATCTTTTGGTCAACATTGGTCAACTCTGCCTGATGTAGGTTGGGCAAGGTCTAAACAAAATGGCGTGAATCTTAATGTATTATTGACCAGCTACAGTAACATGGCATTAGCCGTTATTGTTTCAACAGTAACGTCATTTGATAACGGAATAAAAAATTGTTATAGTTTAAGCAACATGTTCTAAATGCATCACTCACCCTTCCTATGTCAATATCAGGTGACAGATCACAAATTTATTTATTCAAATTTATTCAAACAACGGTTACAATTGTAGGCACAAAGGCCTTTTTTTCACATTGGCCGTTTAAACAAATAAAGCAATTCAATAACACATAGCAG